AGAATCTGCCACCTTTTCGAGCATATTCCGCCGGTGCCTAGTCCCTAGATTCTCGGGGTTTTTTTGGACCGTGCATGATGTCATTGAATTCAAAACGCGGCGCTACTTTTGACTTGCAGGTCGGATTTCTCTGATTACAGCTGTAGTATATGTAGAACTTACCTGGACACTGCGGATCAGTGCGAGTACCACCTACACAATAACATATCAACGCATCATCAACACATCAACACAATAACGCAATCACAACACCAAGCACACACAGAAACAGAACATCGGCTGGGCAACAGGGTACCAAATGCAGGGCCTGAAAAGTGAATTTCGTAACAGTTTCTACGACACCAGCGGCAGAACTCTCCTCTCGTGTGATAACTACCGAGATATCAAAGGTGATTGGGAAGTTGCATAACCAACGCGCACAGGGACCCAATCGCATACCTGGCAAGATACTGAAGTATGCACCAGAATGAGTCGGCGATGCAATGGTCAATATCATAAACAAAGCATTAAAAGACGCAGTGGCGGGTTTAGGGGGGGGGGGGGGCGGGGGGGGGGGGGGGGCGCCCCCCCCCCCTCAAAAGTTTCCACCTAGGTTTCGAAAAATAAAAGGCAGGGCGCCGGGCTAGGTAGGCGCGCGCGCGGCCTGAAACAATCGTCCAAAAGCGGTTGCACGGTACGGTGCTCGAGCTGGTGTTGATTGTACACACTACAGACTAGTACAGTACAGTCTACAGAGTACGTACAGTGAGCACGCACGGCTACAGAAACACAGTGACCTGACTGTGTACACTGTACTGTTGTACAGTGTGATCCCTGCGGGGACGCGCTCGATGCGTCTTCAACGTACAAACATCGAAGAAAAGTCTTCGAGTCAACCAAAACACGATTCGAATGCCGAGGGCTCAGGCAATCATCCTCGTTCGAATTGTGTTTTGGTTGACTCGAAAACTTTTCTTCGATGTCTCAGCGACATTCCAAAAGGCCAAGCTCTAGCCAGCAGAGCCTGGATGGATTTTTGCAAAGCGTTCCTGTGGTGGCGTAACTCCTGCTGCCGCTCCAACAGGAAACAGTGGGAGTGATGAAGTCGCTGTTATTCCAGTTGAACTTTCGGACCGGACTGACAGTCACACTCCGCCAGACGTGGAAGCACCTGTTGTCAGCGAGCAGCCAGAACATGAAGACAAGCGCACAGTGACAAGTGGACATAGTACCGCTGCATTTGTAAAGGATGCTTTGAGCGGTGAGAAATTGTTGGACTCGCACAAATTGCAGTTGACTCGCTCACATATACGGCAAATTTGAAGTTTACAATGTACAATTTTGCTGCGTGTACAGAAATCCGGCTCGTGGTGTGTGAGATTTACGGCTCCTTGACTTCGGTTTTCAAAATGGCTGACCTGGGACAGTAGCATGATGTCATCTATCCCACCCCATCCCGGCCGCAACCCCCCCCCCCCCCCCCTCAGCCACATCCTGGACACGCCACTGTAAGATGGCCTTCATGCATCATTGAAAAGGGAGTTCTTGTCGCACTGGCCAAACCTAACAAATCTAGAGGATGTGTGAGCAGCCTCAGACCTGTTACACAGCTGAATGCTGTGGGGAAGGTCATATTGCTGCTAGTACTACAATTTTACTGCAAGAGTGAAAGGTGAAATTGAAAAAAAAGTTCATTTCAAGACAACCCCAAAAAAGGAAGATGGGGGACATGTCCTCGGTGCTATAAGAGGTGTTCTACTATCTGCTGGTGTATAGTCCTCCCCACTTTTTCCTGCACTGTAGCTGTAGTCGAGACCTCAGGTCAGTGGAGATGCTCCAGTTTCACCGTGGCACAGTTGCGCCTGCAGCCACCTCTATCATGCAGTATTCTGTTCTCGAGGTTCGTGGTTTCTCGTAAAAAGAAAAGAAAAGAAAGTTCTTGCTAGATGAGGACGTAGCTGGCTGGTTTATCAGCGCTTGTAAATTGACTATTTTCAAGACGATCATTTGTGGTGTCAGGGCTTATGGCCCTCGTCTTCTGGGATGCTGGCGTGGCTAAGCGATATTGCTCCAGGAACCCTTCTAAGATGAGGCAATGTTAGCTTGATAGAGTTTTGTTGGTAGTTTGTTCGTGTACGCTGTGGCGTGACTCGGTTGCAGACCCATCAATGATGTGATTTTTCGGCCTTTTTTTTAGAAGTATGCCAAGTTCTAGGTTCCCTTCAGGAACCTTTTTTAAGGGCATTGCACAGTCGATCTACACCCCAAGGGGAACCTACCTGCAAATTTTGAGCAAAATCGGAGAGATCGACTTGCACACATACTATGATATTCCCAGCCCGTGACATGCTCCTTTAAATCATAGGTTAAATTCTGTTGCATGCGTCTATTGAGATGGTGTTACTCTAGCTATTAACTGATTTAATGATAGCCACATAGAGCCGTTAGGTTTCTACTAGGGCTTAACTCTTTGTGACCCCATCGATCGATATCGATCGATTGGTATACAGTGGCACTAAAA